ACACGGTCATCAACGATACATGGCGCGCAGTGAACCTAAATGAGGATGGAACGCGAGGAAAAGTAGTTGCCAAAGTCGGCGCCGTTCATGATTCATTGCAGTCACGAAAACCTGAAGAGGACACTACGACGCGCGGCATGTTCGACGAGCAAGATACGACCCGGCGAAATGTTGTTGGCAATCATCCGCAGCAATTTGATGCTTGGAGGCCTACTGCTATGACACAATCACCGCCTGTCCGAGGCTCTCGATTCTTCCCTAACAACCGCGATGTTCGATTGGAGGAACAACCTACTCTCTTTGACAGACCAGGCTCTCCATCCCCACCTCCCCCGACCATGGCTGACAGTGGCCATCCTGCCTACGATGGTGACAGCACGCATCCACACGTTCTTCTTCCCCGACCTTCACCTGTTGTAAAATTGCCACCTCCACCAGTTCTAGCACCAATTGGCCCCCCAAAGCCCACGTCGTTTGCGGCAGCAGTTCAGGCTCCAGTAGTACCCGTTGTCAATCACAATCCGGCCTTTGCGACACGCCTAGACTTTGCCTCGAGAGGATCACAGTATCAGGATGTTCGTCGTCAGGAGCCAACGGCTGGAAATTGGCAAGAACGAATCAACTCCTTAATTGGACGCAACCACTCCCCTCCAAAGTCGAATGCTCTCGCTGTTGATTCGTCTAGTAAGAGTGCCTTGGAAGTTTCCCACCAGCAAAATGCTGCTACAGTCTCACTGCCATCTCTTAGTTCAGAGACGGCTGCAGATGATGGAACAATCGAATCTAAGCCGGCTGCGGAAGAATGTTTCGAGGAGCAAGAGATGGGTTCTTTGCCTGTTATCAAGGTCCCAGACTTGGCACCAGCACTCGCCTGGAACCCTGCACAGCCACCACCTAAAAATCTCCCACGAAAATTCCACGTTGCGCAAACGACAAGCGCTGAGGCAATGCCATTCCCACAGCAAATCGCAAATAACATTAGCACTGTCATTATCAAGGTACCAGGACAAGAAGAGCCCCGAAGCGTCAATATCCCAGTCGCTGCTCGCCAGAAGAGCAACCCGCGACGGGGAGGCTCTCGTGGTAGCGCTCCACGACAATCCCACACTAGAGGCAGAGGCCGAGATACTTCAGGCGGCTTCGCGTCCCCTAGCCTCGATAACGCATCTGTTTCCTCAAGCCCAAACTCTGGTCGAGGGGGACGAGGGGGCCGAGGATATGGATCATCGAGCTGGAGCAGGCATGTCCCCACACCTGTCCACACTTAGTCGGACCGGTTTTTTAGGCATGATGAATAGAGAGCACCTTCGCCGATGGGTATCTCACTGTATGGACTATTTTCTTTTCACACGCAACCCCACTTTCACACTACACTTGTAACTGTCATGAGCGGATGTTTGTCTCGTCGGCGGCCTTGCAATTTGCAAGGCGTGTACATTGTGCTAGGTGTCATTAGCTCGCTTCAAAGCGTTTGCTAGCTTGACATGAAGCACTCGATGGTGCAGACGATGACGAGCAAAAGATGCGACTGAGAGCTGTTCCCCTTTGAAGGATTCAGCGAGGTCGAGATAGCGAGATGAAACTATGTGCGAGCTTGCTAGATAGCTGCGACGTCCAGGGTCTCGAACCAGAGGCATTGAATAGCTATCGAATAAAACATTTTAAAATCTACACCCTAGTGACATACAGAATGAATATGCTGTGATTTTCTGAAGTCAAGATGTCTGGTCTAGTTCTGTTTGATGGTGTCTGTTCTCGATCATTGAAGCCACTAGGCTGAACCATCTCTACTTGTGCGTCGCTGTGTTCAGTAGGGCTAATTGAGCGTGCGACAAATGACTTGTTCATCCATGAGATCACCATTTGCGTCACCAAAGGCGAATCTTAAAAAGGTTGATAAAAATCATGAGGGGATGTAAGAGTCACGCTTCATTTATAATGTGCCAGACTCCACTTCAATGCTTATTGAAACTCTCCCAAATCCTGTTTGACCGTACTTTTGTCCCCGACTTTCTCCTTCCCTACTTCCTTCCCATCCTTCACATCCTTAATCACCCTCGCCAGCCTCACAATCGACTCCTTCAAGTCCGCTTCTTCCTCCCACGCAAAACATAGTCTGATAGACCTCTCAAACTGCACGCTCGAATCGGTGGAGACTTCGAAGATATGTCCAGGTGCAACGACCAAGTTCTCTTGTGACTTGGCAAGATCGGTGACTGTTTCGGCGTTTACGTTCTCGGGCATCTCGAGCCAGATGAAGTAGCCGCCGAATACGGCATTTTCACCGAAGCTGACTTCTCCGATCTTGACGCCAAGTGGGACGAGGAGGGCTTGGATAGAGGAGATCATAATTTCGTAGCGCTTTTGGTAGGCTGGGCAGAGGACTTTTTGGATATGGGACTCCATTTCGCCGCTTTTGAGGAGTTCAGTCATCATTGTTGCTGCTAGCCTGTGGGTTGTTAGTACTGAAACACTTCTCTTTCGCCTTAGGTATTCGTCCAATGTTCCTCCAAGGGTGGTGGGGCTTTGTTTGGAAATGTGGTACTTACTGACTTGGTGCACCTCCGCTTCTGGATGATCCGCACTGTGAAAGTCCGTATGTGAACTTTGGAGTGGCTTCAGCCCAGCCTGTCCTCACTCCAGGACCAGCTATTTTTGAGAATGAGCCATTGGACATTGCGTTTCCGAAGCTTTCCGCCGACGGTATTGGTTCGAGCGTTCGGTCGATATCTACCAGGCGAGGAAGAAGTGCTTTGGTTAATGAAGAGGCGGAAGTAGTCAAGGTTGTGGGAAACTGGAGGAAATCGTAAACATCGTCTGTGATGATCAAGGCATCGTACTTTCGAGCTATTTGAACGAGTTTCTGGCGATTGGAGAGGGACATGGTCTTTCCAGATGGATTGGAGAATGTTGGTACGCAGTATACTAGGATGCAAGTTAGCATCGAAATTCAATGTCGAGGAACGAAGTCTCGAATAGTCCCAAAGAACGTCGAGCTAAAAAGCCACTTATTTGGGGAAAACAGAAACAAAAAAAATGTCCTGCCAATCTAGAGAATAGAAATGGAGAAATTCCTTACTAATGTGACGGTAGACCTTGCCCCAAGGCGTTGTTCGTTTAAGAGTCTGCAATTCTGTTAGTAAGTGTTCATACCATGGCGCCTGAAGCTTTTCAATAGCTAGCATCTTCCAGGACCCTTTCTCTGCAGAAGGTACAAGGAGGAGCGGGTGAGTTCTCCAAGTAAGTTCACGTGACTGATGTTCATGGAGACTTTCATCTCAGCTTCGAGAATAGAAAGAACGCTTGATGCACGAGTCTTGAAATGTGGACAAGGCAGAAAGTCTAAATCAAGTTGGGTACAAACAGGATTCGAAATTGTACGTCTGCTTACCTTGGTCTCTCCTTCCTCTTGCTCAACCCTCTTCAAACCATCCTCAAGTGCCACCAAATCAATCCCCTCACTTCCTTCCTCCACAGCCCTCATCTTAAGCCCCGCATCCTCGAAAATTCTACAGGCAAGAAAATAAGCTGGTGCAACCATCCATACTCTCGTCTTTAACGGATCCGTAAAGACCTGTAACACACAAGCCAAGTTCTGGCTTGCCCCTCCTGAAATGCAAATTCGATCCGCATCCGGCTCTCCACCATAGAATCTACTCATCCATTTCGCGATCTCTTCTCGAAGAGGTCGATATCCAGGATCTGGTCCATACAGAAGACCGGGTGTTGAGATTGAAGGATCTGAGAGGGCGGATTGCGCAGCGCGGAGGACAGCGGGGGTAGGAAGCAAAGAGGGGTTCGGCCAGCCACGGAGGAGATTAATGGACTTTTTGAGTGTCATCTTTTGCGATTGCGTCTAGGAGAACAGCCTTGAGATTTATTTATCGAAGTGTTTCAATCATCTAAGTGTTCGATGAGACTTTGATATGAGCATGGGGAAAGCTGCGGGAGGAGTGGATCAGTTTGTGAATGGTGACTTTTTTTTAGCTTGCGAATTGTCATTTTGTAAGTCATGGCGTCAACGAGAAGGAAGGACACTAAGGGAGCGACTCAAATTTCTTCCGCTGTACAATGATACCATCGTGTCAATTTCAAAAACTTTCACAAGGACTGGATTGATTTTAAACAGGTTACTATAAATAAAGCTCGCAAATTTTAAGTTGGATTGGATGTCTGCAGGTGCAATGTCCGCTATTGTCTAGAGCGACCCCGCCGTTGAGCCGTCCCGAACTACACGCATCACTGCGTACCTCTGAGAACATCTCACGTTTTAAGCATCAATGTCTGCTACAAACCTAGGCATTCAAAGCAAGTGCTTCCGTCAGCACGAACCAAAGTAATTGTCAAGTGTTAATTTGAAGATAATACTTTAGAGGCTGGGGGCTCCAGTTACTGGGAAATACGAGAATAAACAGATCGTCGAGCTAGAGGTTTCTTCTTTTGGAGTTGACAGAGTATGCTTAAAATTTAATAATATTCTAGAGCAATAGGGCCGCAAAACTTGGTGGCTGTTCGGCCGACCCACAGCGCTATCGACGATCCATCACCGCAACCAGACAACTATTGAAAAAAAACCTGTGCATACAGAGATATCTCGAAAGGTCAATTTTACAATGCAGGAGGTCAAACTCCTTCACTAGTGCAAAAATTGCAATTTCAGAGTGCTTTCCACCAAGACCTAAGCTACTATATCTTTGTCTCTTCCAAAGCATTTCCTGTGCTCCTTAGCCTGTTTGAAGCAACCTTAGATCCGTGCAAGGCCCTAGCGACGCTCATTAAATAAAAACTCTCGCTATACGCGCAAAAAATTCCCAATATCAAAATTATCACCCAAATTTCAGGGTGTTATATCTTCACTATACCATACATAGTCCCTTCTATTATTCTAAATAACTTTTAAAATGGTGAAAGGTGTCTAAAACAATGGCAAAAAGAGATGATCAGGCTGGGGCTCGATCTGGACGGGTTGTTAGAAATTTGAATGCATTTATATTGAATGCTAGTCTGACTTACCCCAGGACCTTCTCGGTATTTTGTCACAGTTATGAGCTGTTAACGAGATGTGATAACCAACTACACCACCCGACCATTTTATTGGAGGCGAATGGCTTATTTAAATCTATACTTGCTGTTCAAAGTGTGTGTGGGACATTTTCCCGTCTGGGTTTGGTGCCTGGCAATGAGGGGCTAAGCGAGAAACAACCCCACCTTTCAAGGCTCTGGCTGACCCGAGCGCTTCAGGGAGATATCATTTGGGGGAAGCTACCATAGCAAACCATATCCACATATCTCATGATGCTTAAGGATACACAAAGCAGCAAACCCCGGCAAAATACAGCAATGTGTTGACATACCGAGATATTTTAAGATTGAATTCTTGAAGCTATTCATAGAATGGTATTTCTATTCCATCTCTCAAGCCTACAGTGTGTGACAATCACAACAAGAATTGAATGTCCCAGTACTGTAGGGCTGTCATGTTTTCATATTCAAGTTCTCCTTCACGTATTGCTTCCCAAAATTACACAAGCACATGCAATACTTCTATCCTACTTTTACACTAATATCCTTCATATTCTCTTATTCTGTGTACCTGTCTCTCCCATCCACGAAGAAGTCGAGAATAGTTTGGAAGGAGACCTTGATAACAAGCTGATCACGGATACTCCTTTTAGCTGTCAGGATGGAAAACTCGATCTCCTTGAACGATTAGGAGTTTTCAAGTGAGTCATTTTGGCGAATTTCTGAGAGGTCTCCAAATCTGACTTGTTTGTATCAGTCAATAGTTAAACTCTTCTCAAGGTGTTTGAGTCAATGTTACTCATTTCTCGGGATATTAGTAGCTCGCTTTTTTTGGACATCGGGAACACGAATCGGTCCGCACAACAATTGCCCCCTCCCATCGCCCAGATCTCAATAGGAACACCCAGCGGTTGCGGGTTCTGTCAGCAAGCCTAGAATTTGTCTCAATTGGAAATCCGGATATCGACGGCATAGAAAAGATCAATTGTTCAAGGCGATGTACCACGACGGCGGCAAAGGGAAGAGCCGAAGCAGAGCGTTGAACATGGCCACCAGAAGATACCTACTATCGTCAAAGCCAAAGGAGAAGGCCAGGTTACGTTAATTCTGATGCATCAGTACCAGGTCGATATCACGGTGGTGATGTAAAAGTAACATCGGAAAGTTCTTCAGTACAATGATGAATTTGATGGTAATCCTTCTCTCTCCAAACGACTCATGAGCTGTCTTCGTTCGGCGTTTTCAATCTCCCAACCTCGCCAAGATTTTCTGGTCTACGCTATCTCGACCAGAACATGTCAAATGCAGGTTCATAGCCACCAGCTTCCGTCAAAGTCCCGTAATGCTGGGAGATTGAAAACGCTACTTGAGGTCTGTCAGTTGAGACATGGGACCACATAGCGGTGCCACCGACCTCATTAAGGGGGTGGGGTGGCCCCACCCCTCTCTGTGTGTATATAGGCCTTTTGTAGCCCTTTTCACCACCAATGCAGTCTTTACAACTGACAAGGTCTCTGGCTTGAACTCTGCCTAGGAAGAACTCTTCGCAATAATTTCCGACATCTTTTTTATCGTTAATATTCTGTCTCCAGAATTGTTGACTTTCGAACTCACCTGCTCAGCAACAGCATAAACAAAATAGCTTAATAATGCGCTGCAATCGAGAACGGAAAAATACTCACATCAATAACTCTCAATCCCTCAATACCCTTCACCCTGCACTCAATATCAAGTCCCTCAAAGCATTATCAGAAAGATCATATCGGATGTCCTCATCGATCGCGTACTCTACCGCACTGTACTTAGAGACTGCAGATGATTTGTGGATCGCGTTTATGGTTGTTCGAGCCAAGTCGTATACGAGATGCAAATCGAAGGGATTCTCGAAGAGTGCTGGGTCGACCAGTGGCGGATCTTCTGGCGATGCAGACGAGAGTCGAATACTGCCTCGTGAGGAGAGTGCAACTAAAATATTTGCAAACATGAAGACAGAGGAGTCTGCTGGAGGTTGAAGATGACCAGTAAGATCTATATGTCCATACCGGAGTTGTTAGCAAATCCAGCTTGATGCTAAGGGTGTGGTTTACATTGACAGTCTCCGTATGAGGTCGGCCTATTAATTCAAATCTCTCCAGTGCTGGCTATCCAGGCCTTCTTTGCTAAAGCTGTGGTCTTTTCATCGTCGTGTCTTTGTAAGCTGAGAAAATCGCTGCCTGCTCCAGCTGTCCAGTCGACTTCTGGAGAGATCATCTCCATGTCGCCTAGAGCAAGGTTCCGATCTCGTACTTTCCAAAAGGTGGCGAGAAAAGGATGATCTTAGAAATTCTCTCCCACTGGAAGATCAATTACTTGTGGGATATTGTGCTTCTCCAGCTCCGTTTTAGGACCAATGCGACTGACGATGTTAGTATTCGGTCGGGAGAGACGTGCGGGAATAGGGAGCTCGCCTCAGTAGAAGCAGCTTGGCAGAATTTTGCACACCAGCTGAAACTAGCACTTCCTTCTTCGCCAGAGCACGAATTGCACTGTGATTGTTGGGCAGGACTTCAATCCCTGTAACTTTCTTCTCAGAGAAGAGGAGCTTAGCAGCTTGGGGGTTGTCCCAGAGAGTGACTTTCGTTCCTCGCTTGTAACATGAAGTAGCCCATTTTCTTTCTCCATTGAAAGTGCTGTTCGCATAATCTCCGTGGCCCACTATATTCGCAAAAGTCAGCCGTTCAAATTTCGACTTGAAAACCCAATGATTCTCCAACGCAAGTTTCCAAACCTGTTCACCCCCGGGGGTTCCAGAATTGAGATCAGGGTTGAATAGAATTTCAGCCTTCTCATATATACCTTCTACCATAGACTTCAATGGATAGTTTCTGGGACCGCCAGCTGATGACGAGACATGAGACACCGTGACTGGTCCATCGTAGCCATGGACACGAGGTTGCTTGTCCTGATTGCCAATTTTGGGAGGGATGAAAGTTTCGCTCTTCTTGAAGTAAGGTAGGAGTCCTTCCCATGACCATCGTTTGTCTCCAACTTCCGGAGCCCATCGGTCACTGTTTAGCAGTTAGATTATGTTTCAAGTTTGGGTAGGCGGGAATTGCAATTCTGGTGCGGCGCCACATGTCCAGGCTTGGTAGTTGATGGCAGATGAGCCGCCTAAGACCTTGCCTTGGAATTGAGTTACCTGGAAGCAATTAATAAGATATTCAAACCAACAAAACACAAGCTTCGACGTCGAACGACCAAAAATACCACTTACGATTCTGCCATCGGGTGCTTTTTGTGGCACACTTTGATGATTCTATCGATTATCAGTAATGTCTGAGAGAGCGAATCCCATGCTTGGAGCAATTCGCGTATCATGTTCTGGTCCAGCTTCGGTGAGAAGAATCGTGTCGTTCGGCAGTGCTGCCGAGAGACGGCTGGCCAAAACGCAACCCGCAACCCCGCTTCCCACAATGATATAATCAAAAGCTAGACTCAGCATGTTTGTTCAAAATCCAATAATGCCATAAAATTACTTTGAGGAGAAGTCTTTCTTTAAAGTTTTCTTTACGTACAATTGCCAGCAGATCTACACTAATAGTCTGATGCCTAAGATGACAGGGACACTGGCTCCGGCAGTACCATTCAGGGAAATATTCCTGTCAGCTCAGAGCTTCGACGAACCAGAGTAAGATGGCATTCCATCATGCACTGTCTACGGAAACTGTCTCGACTAGATGTAGAAAGCGCTCCTACGTTGAAGTCGTAAAATCTTGCCAATGAAATTGCTTGATAGAAGAGGGGACAGGAACAAATCTCTACGCTTGTATGATTTCTACGCTCGCCGCGTACAGTACATACTCGAGACTTGGAGTCTTTGAATTGTGCAGAGTGAGACTGAGGAGATAGGTTCAGAGTACGAACGGCGTTCGGCGGCTTGGAAACCTCTGACAGCATCATATAATAGCAATACAAGTATTACAAGGACTCGGGGAGTGAGGCAGGAAGGAGCTTTCCTTCATCATCAGAAAATATGCGAAGGCAAGCATGAAATTCGAGAAACCCAAATGCGGCAAATGCAAAGGGCTGCATGATTGCATAATTGGCTGTGCTTGTTAGACTTTCCTGTGGTTTTAGTGCTGAGTAAGCACGGCAATGGATATCGTAATGTCCCCGCACCTAGCTGGACATCATCACCTTAATCAATCAACCAGCTCATCAAGATCATCGAATATACTTTGGTCTTGGGATAAATAAGTTCACCCCTGTCTTCTGCTTCTAGCACTTTCGACCCCACAATTACGCCAAATCTGTCTTTAGTATTGGTTCACTACCCTAGGTGAGGCTGACTTGAAAACCCTCAGGGGTGAACTTATTTATCCACAGACCAAAGTATCATTCAACTTGACAGTGCTAGCCCGTTTCGACAACAACATCGACGATGGCTCGGGTCGTCCGCTCGGGTCTGTTGTGCATCTCATCAGAAATTGTTAACTTTCAATGAGGGTTTGAAAGGATTTCCGTTCCTTAGCTAGGGATCTGATCTCTGTTACTACTATATATGGTACATCCCTAAAGAGTTATCCCCGTCTGCCTGTCTACACAAAATGCAAAAAATGCCCACATGCAAGGACGGAAATAAAAGCTTATCATGTGAGATCATGTAACATATTCCTCACGTGCTCTAACCACACTGTTATAAAGACAAATGTTCCGAATATAGCTTAATCACGGATCTTAGCTGGAAAATGAGGACTGTGGGGATAGACGGAGGTTTAATGTAAGAATGCATTGCATTAGCACGTGATTATCCGTTCGAGCAATGTTAAAAATCAGTGCTCCAAGTTCTAGTGTGCCTAATGGGCATGTTTCAAGCTGAGTAGTCCAGATTGTAGTATTACAAACTTCAGTGGTGTAGGTTGCAATGTTAAAAGTCGGTATTGTTGAATTCGACCTTTAGGCTATTTCGGGATAGGATGAGCGCTAGCGCCCCCTACTTGTGGTAGGTGTCAATTGGAAATCACGTGCAACCTGTATTGGGCATAGCCTCTGTTTCCGATGCATATGTATTACCTACCACTCCATCC